GTAAAGAATATATACAGTACTTATGGCTCCTGCTCTCATTCTACTGAAACTGTATAGAAATATTAAACAGGGTAAAATGAATGAAAGAAGCAGGAGAATGCACTCAAGGTGCTGGTAAGGGGGAGATGGGGGAGGTAGCTGCTGCTCGGTAAAGAAGGGGCCCTGCAGTTATTTGTTTTTGTTGACCCAGCAGTAAATCTTATGGTGTCTTAAAGTCATCACTAAGAACAGTATCAGGTGTTAGTGACGATGTGTGATATATCCAGTCACTGAACACTTACAATTTAGGGGAATGTATGAATTGGCGCAGAGCTGCAGGTGATTTAAATTCATTTACGTCCATCTCACTTGCCATTCAATAAACGCAATTGTGTATAACATACATTGCTGGCCTTAGTATTTGGGAAATCTTCAGGTCTGTATTTAACAGTCCAAGAGGAAATTATTATTCTCGTTTTGCCAAGAAAAACAGCAGTAAATGCATTCTGTGGCAAGCTGAGCTATTTGAAAAATACTTGGAGAAATGTGTACAAGCCAGCTTGTCCTGAACTGTGCTAGGTTTTAGTGGGCAGTGGGGATCTTGTGGTGTTTCAGGACACAGAAAGTGACATGTCTTGCAGGACGCCTGGGGGACAACGTATACATGTAATTAAGATCATCACTAAGTACAAATGTCACTAGTAATTACCAGTAAGCACTGATAAAATGTCAAATATTACTGTATATAGAAGACCAGTTTAGTGTTCTGCAAATATTAGTTACATGAAGAATTTTCAAGGTAATTGTATGCATGTTTTTTTTTTCTTCTTATATTTGCTTGCCATTATGTGCAACATTTAAAGGCCAGCCAAACTGTTTTTTTTTTCAATTTTGGATAGAATAGAATTGCTGCTATTTGTAACTTTATTAGAGAGATTCCTCTTTTCTGTCATGGTGACAATTGGTACACCAGATAGTAAGTTATGGAACGTTTGCAACAGGAAACCAGATAGCAATACAAAACCAATAGGGGTTCCAGCATTCTCCTACTCTATAAAAATTCTATTGGTTTGTCATACCTTTGGAGATTTTCCCTCATTTCCTGCCTGGTAAAACTTTGTTGCCAAAAGTTATGTGAGGAGCAGTGATGGGCCGAACACCACCCCTGTTTGTTTTACAATCGTACCTAACGAAAATTCAACCGCGCAGTCCGAATCGGGGCAATTCACTAAGTGGTATCTTATCGCATCCAAGCAGGGGCGGACTAACCATTCAAGCATTCGGGCACTGCCAGAGGGCCCGGGGTCAGTAGGGGGCCCCATGAAATGCCCCTGGTACCTTTTATAGGCTTTTTTGGGTGTGCTTTAAGTGTGGGCAAGGACACAGGGGCCCCATGATCCCCTATTGCCTGGGGGCCCCCTGAGTTGTTAGTCCGCCCCTGCATCTGAGTATGTGGTAAGGTACCGCACAGCTACTAAAATACCACATGAGTTATATTATTAAGTCATGCTGTCAGGAATGGACTCGCCAATGGTGGTGGGACTCACCTGCCTTGTGGGCTGCAGTACCAAGGCTGGCCAGCAGGTGCTCTCAGCAGCCAGAATCTCACTCCTGCAATCAGGCCATCACCTGAGGCTGATTGCAGGAGGTGTATTTAAGCAGGACCAGGCCTGTGATCAGTGCCTTGGTGTTGTTTCCCTGTACCTTGTATCCTGTGTTCCTGTTTCTCTGCCTATCTGATTTGTTGTCGACCCTGCCTGATCCTGACCTCTGCTGACTTCTCCTGCTCTGACTCCTGGCTCGTCCCTGACTATTCTTCTGCCTACTCCTCCATTTGAGTCTTGTATAGATTTTAAGGGTAACCCTTATCTGAGTATGCAGCCTGGCAGGTCAGAAAAGGGGGGGGGAGATGAGTGAGCACCCACCCTCATGAACCATACCAGGCCACATGCCCTCAGCATGGGGGGGTGCTTTGGGGTAGGGGGGTTCTCCCCCAAAGCACCTTGTCCCCATTTTGTTGGGGACAAGAGCCTCTTCACAACTGTGGCCGGTAGTTGTGGGGGTCTGCAGGTGGGAGGCTTATTGGAATCTGGAAGCCCCTTTTAACAAAGGGGCCCCCAGATCCTGGCCCCCCCTTTGTAAATGAGTATGGGGTACAGTGTAGTGTAAAAAATGACAGAAGACAGTCTATGACAAGTCCTTTACTAAAAACAAAAAAAACCCCATTTCCCCCAAAGTAGATCCAATGTCAATCACGATGCCCGCCGCTGCCACCGCTGACCCAAGAAAAGAAAAAAACCCCCACTATGTTCTCGACACTGGCTCCCACTGTCAGACAGCTGCGCCAGTCTGACAGTTCTTAAATACTGCGATGACATCACAAGAGGGCAGTGTCACCTGGTTGATGCCACTGGGTGGCCCCGCCCCTTGTAACGCCATCATGTGCTGTGATTGGCCAATGCATTGCACTGTCAGGGAGCAGTGCATTGTGGGGCCCTTACAGTTTTTGTGTTTGCCAAACACACAAATGGCCGATGTTCGAGCTGAACATAAGTTTGACTCGAACATCAAGCCCAACTCTAGTGAGGAGTGGAGCTGCTGTGTGCTTTGAATCGCGCTAAACTCCTGTATGGGTTAACATGCATTGCAGTGCATTTTGTCTTCTACAGGTTTAATTTATGACACTCCAACACTATGGGGTTGATTTACTAAATCAACCCCATAGTGTTTGTTCAATGAAGCTTTGACAATAAAACCTGGAAGCTGATTGGTTTCTATGCAGTGCTGCACCAGATATTGCACTCTCCAGTTTTAATAAATCTCCCTCAGTGTGTTGATTGGGAGAATATGCCTCATTCTTTCGTAAGTGCAGCATTGAGAAATACAGTCTAATACAGCTGGTGTGAATGAGCCATCCAGTTTCCAAAAGTAAGGCCTGGTCATATCTATGCATCCATCTTTATTGGAAGCAAATGAATCCTGTCCACTACTAAAAAGTGCTGCAAGTAGTTAAAGTGGTTCTAAAGCCTCTTTTTACCAAAAATAAAAAAGAGGTTTACACTTACCTGTTCTGTGCATTGGTATTGCACAGTGCAGCCCTGAACCTCCTCTTCTGGGTTTTCCTGCCAGCACTCTTGGCTACTCCTCTTCTTTGTCTGCACCATGGAAAGCTACTTGCTATGGGTGCAGATGTGTGGGCTCGCTTCCGAGCTGGGCTGTTTGTGTCTATAGACAGCATGGCTTGCCTCCCTCCCAATGGCTCTTGCTCAGGGGTGGACTGACCATTTAGATACTCAGGCACTGCCTGAGGGCCTGGGGTCAGTAGGGGGCCCCATGAGATGCCTCTGGTACCTTTTTCATAGTTTTTTTTTGAGTTTTGGCAAGGACACAGGGGCCCCATGATCCCCTATTGCCCGAGGGCCCCATGAGTTGTCAGTACGCCCCTGCTCCCGCTGCTACCAATCTGCCCTGTAAGATCAGGGCGATGCTGCCGATGGGCACAGCTCTGGATCGATATAGGACTCAGGAAAGTATTGGGGGGGGTAGCAAACAGTTAGTAAAGATTTTTACCTTAATGCATGTAATGCATTACGATGAAAAAACCTTTATCCCGACTTTAAAACCACTTTAAAAACATGTATTTGGGGTGCATTTTTCTCAGAACACAACAGAATTCATTCAAGCCGGGAGGCTGCATGCAGTATTTCTGGAAACAGGACTATTCAGCGAGTGTAACATCATAGTTACATTTGTTTGCAGAGACTGCTGGCTACATAAATCTGAATGTTTTTGGGTGAAGTGCAGTTATATTTAAAGACAGGCCTTTCTTGTGCCAGATTGTACCAGCCCCAGGGGCGGACTGACCATTTGGAAACTGGGGCACTGCCCGAGGGCTCGGGGTCAGTAGGGGCCCCATGAGATGCCCCTGGTACCTTTTTCATAGGCTTTTTTGAGTTTTGACAAGGGCACAGGGGCCCCATGATCCCCTATTGCCCGGGGGCCCCATGAGTTGTCAGTCCGCCCCTGACCAGCACTGTGTGCTGGCACCTCCTAGCAGGGCCTGTCTGGAGGGATTTAGATGAGGCCATTCCAAGAAGACATGGCCAGAGTATGAGCAGTCCTGCACCCTGTGTGATATGCACAGGTGAGCTCTATGCCTGTGCCATACACACTCCTGAGCTCTACACTCCAGGCAAAACATACTCCTAACTTAAATATTATAGAAAACACCTGTTCCCCGAGGTTGTGAGTGGTCAGTGCATTGGGAAGTAGTGTCCTCCTAGCACCCGAACAAACACGTAGATAAAAGGAAGCAGCCAGCTCAATCTTCCGCCTTACTCATAGCCATCAGGCGACACTCCGTAACGCATAAGCCCTGTATTATTTTGTACTACTCCTGGATTAATAAATTCATTTATTTTGGGAGATCAGAGTGCTGGATTCCTTTTATCAAAACATACTCCTATGCCTTGTGCCCTGTGAGATACACACTCCTGAGCTCTGCATCCTGTACGCTATGTTATTCTCAGCTGTGTTCTGCAATATATACACTTTGTGTGGGGTGAGCCATATGTGCTGCAAATAGATCCAATGCTCACAGTGTTTGCATCAGGTGGGCCCTGGTTACTGCTAGTCAATGGACCCAGCCTGATTTACATTTATTCACTTCATCTCAAAATGGTTGATCTCTTCTTCCCCTCATGTTCCACCCTTGGGTGAAGGAAAAAATCAGATTGCCTATTTAGTGATTGTACAGGAAATACAATCCTGGAGCTTTGTGGTAGGTTTTTTAAAGGGGGCACAGCAGAAGTTATCTCCTTTTAGACACATTGAGGGACATTTGTCATAACGCTTTGCAGTTTTTGCTTCTTCTTACATTTTTATTGCAAGATAGTGATGTATTGTTTGTATACGATTTGTGTAATATGTTACCTGCTATAAAAATGAATGTACTCTGTCCTGGTCCTGTATGTATCTCATAGTGCAGAGCTGGTGAGGACCAGGGGCGGACTGACAACTCATGGGGCCCCCGGGCAATAGGAGATCATGGGGCCCCTGTGTCCTTGCCCAAACTCAAAAAAGCCTATGAAAAAGGTACCAGGGGCATCTCATGGGGCCCCCTACTGACCCCGGGCCCTCGGGCAGTGCCCGAGTTTCCAAATGGTCAGTCCACCCCTGGTGAGGACCATCCCCTCTGGGCTGCTATCCCACTTGCTCTCAGAGAGCAGCACAGAGGTTTCCAGGTACATGGTCAGTTATAGGTTTTGAGGGACTGATGGGTTCAGTTCTACCCCATTTTTACCAGTGAAAGCTCTGGGGCAAGCCCTGCAGCAGGAGCAGCATAGTTACATAGTTAGGCTGAAAAAAGACAAAAGTCCATCCAGTTCAACCAAAAAAAAAAAGTTATAATCCTATACCCACAATTGATCCAGAGAAAGGCAACCCCCCCCCCCCCCCCCAGCAAAGCATGATTCAATTTGCTCCTGCAGCAGCTTCCATCTGGTCTCCCAACCCCAGTCCATTGGTGGTCAGTAGGAAGGAATATCTGGAGAGGCTGCAAAAAGAGGAAAGAAAGAGGAAGCTGCACCTGTATATCTTTATCATAAGATATTATCTACCATTTCAAAGCAAAGCAGCCTACTGACATGACAAGGAGGCAGTAGAAAGTGAGCAGAACAATAAATCATGAGACTTTTTATATACTACAAGGGCTATGGATCTGTATCAGTACAAATGCTGCAAACAATTGGAATATGCAGCGCCATAAAACAAATAATAAAATGTTAAACATGAAATCTCAGCATAATCACTGGGACATAATATCAACACCTTTAGTAAAAGTCTGGTATGAAATGACTAAACCCAGTAGGAAATTGTCCTGTGGACTTGAACATATGTGGGATGTACAAAAACAGCAAGAACTTCAGATGTTCACTCGATCTAAAATCCTGAAGAAACTAGTAAAATAATGTGCTTACCACAAGAACATACAAACTGAGCGTTGTATGCATGTCATCAAGTATACCATCAGCAGCTGGAAAAGGGCCTGGACGGAAATGAGAACAGTAACCGGTTATCCACGTTAGACTCTTGAGGGCCTCAGCAAACACTCAGGGGTCACATCTGGTTCACCGGTGGGTCCAACGACGTCCAGCCTGGTCCTGGTGGTACTTCTCCTGAGATGGTCCACCTTACACGGCTCACAAATAACGAGCCAAAGGCAAAAGGTACTAATGGTGAAGTACGTCTTTATTGTAATATGTCAAAAATAAATTGGTATACAACTCACATTTGGAGTTTCAGGTGATCTCCACGTATATAACAAAGATTCCTGGTGGTCAGTGGTTCCCTGGTGGTTAGTGGCGTCTGCTGGGTGGATCCCCTGACATGTTTCGAGCTCCAAGCTCGTTATCAAAGGGGTCCATGTCAGGGGATCCACCATATTTGTATTTTGTTTAACATTTTATTATTTGTTTTATGATCTGAGGTGTTGAGGATTGCCTTATTTGCTAGCTGCCGATATTTTGTTTTTTGCGCTCACTTGCCTTATCTTTGTAGATGCTGCAAACCTTTTTGAGGAGGATGGGGAGGAAGTGGTAAAGCTGTCACTTGATCACTGAAGTTCAGCTGTCTGCATTGACTGCATTGACAGCTCCCGTATTTTTTTAGTACAAGATAAATAAGTTCTAGGGATGTTGATGTGAGTTGCGTGCAACTGCGGCATTATGAGTTGTAGAATTTAAATCAGCTTGACCACTTCATCACAGATGTGGCTTTTTGCTTTGTCCTTTTTCCATATTTCTTTTCACTGTTGCAAAAATTCCATAAAATGACTCATATGTCACCAAACAATGTACTTGGTTCCATATTCTGTAAAAAGAAGGTGGAGAAGGAAGGGTGCTGGAAGGTGGTGAGACAAAAGTGGCAACTGCTTCTGTAATGATTAATGTCACGTTCACACCATACATGCAGAAAAACTGATGGAAACAGATTTCACTTGCAGAGTCACCAGTTTACATGTTTTCATGTTTTATACGTGTTGCAGATTTCTGCTCTGAAAAATCTGCACGTGATACTAGTGTTGTGGTGTGAACAGGGCACAAGAACAACTGATTTTGTTGTGCCCTTGCAGAATGTGTGCAAAAAGCTGATGTCTCTGCACCATGGTGTGAATGAGCCTCAAAACTTTTCAAGGAGAAAAAGAATGAAAAGAATATAAAACAGATGAAAAGTACGCCAAAGCATCTTCTGCAGATCGGATGTATGAATAGTAAATATTTTCAAGCAATATGCAGAATATTTGCGATATTCATATTCTCCATACTAAACAAATAAACATATTTTTATATTTTATTTCTGACCATAATATTTAAAGAAAGAAAATATGTATAAAACTGCTATGCATTCCTATTACACTACAGTACATTCAGGGGCGGACTGATCATTCGAGCACTCGGGCACTGCCTGAGGGCCCAGGGTCAGTAGGGGGCCCCATGAAATGCTCCTGGTACTTTTTATAGGCTTTTTTGGGTGTGCTTTGAGTGTGGGCAAGGACAAAGGGTCCCCATGATCCCCTATTGCCCAGGGGCCCCATGAATTGTCAGTCCACCCCTGAGTACATTACATCCATGCGACAGGTGCACATTTTTTGGATAATTTGACTGTAAGGGCTTACATATACATTCTTTTTTTTTTTTTCTTCTGACCTTTATTTGTGAAGGAGTGATGAAGGATCTGGAACACAATATTTTTATTTTTTTTTGGCTTTACAGTTTAGGTTATCCTGGATTGTACTATTTATCTGTGAATAGAATAGAATATCCAAATAGATTTTTCACTCACACAAGTTAAAGTCAATGCAATTCAGAAGCATCATAAAAGCATTTTCAAATGCGTCCCAAAACTGATATCAAACTGATCTCAAATTCAAACCATTTTCCCTGTGAGTACCTGAAAGCATGCTGAGCTTGGCTTGCTTTTAGCATAATGGTATAAACCTCATATAAATGTGTACATAAAATGGAAAGTCATTTGAAAGCGTACTAGAGGCTTCAAGCTGTCAAATAATTATATGTGCTCATATGAAATGTGCATGTATGTGACCTTAAAGGCTTAATGATCAAAGTGACCCAAACTCATTTTATATGGTTGAACACAAATGAAATTATTTCCCTGCTAAGTTTATCAAAATACAATAAATCCTGACTCAGAAACCCAATACCCTCATAAATCATGGAGTTAAAGTGGCTCTAAAGTGAACCTGCATTTCAACAGACCTATATACTGTTTAGGTATAGGTCCCAATGATAAGAAAGCCAACAATCACTGCTAAACCATGTCATAATCAAAATATCTATAGGATAAATGTTATTACAAAATGCCAATCCAATGCTTCATCTTTTGCCGCTGCTCATTATTGTACTCTTTTCTTCCTTTTGCTGCAATTAGGAGCCTTTGGAGAACTGTCCAATAAGCAATGTGAATACATACAGTATGTCTGGTGCAAAAAGATCTGATCATTCTATCTATCAAAAATGGTCAGAAGCCTTCGTGTATAGAAATGTTAAACCCACAACAGTAAAATCAGTCTATATATGCAGTAAAGCATGCTTATTATACTCACTGAAGAACCTAAGGGGTTAATCCTCTGCATTGAGTAAAAACGCTGTTTGATCCTGACTTCGCTGATCCTCCCCTTCTTCCAGTATCTCTCTTATCTCCTGATAAGTCATATTGTGTGGAGTCACTTTGCACATGCTCAGTTTGGTGTGTATTGCTAGAGAGGTTTTTTTTTTTTCTTGGAAGAGTGCATGTGATCAGCACAGGTCCAGTCAGCACTGTCCAGACACTGTCCAGACAGAGGTCAGAGGTTCTGCATCCTCCTAGAGCAAAATGAAAACTCCTCCTAAAAGCTTTAATTGGTGCTTGGCTGGACACTGATAGAAGTGACACGATTGCTCTAACTGCTGATGAGAAAAGGTATTTAGCAGTTTATATTTACTAAAATAATTGCATTTCCATGTTGTTTGTACTGTAGGAGACCAGATATAGTGAATGCAGGGTCCTGGGTTTAGTAACACTTTAACAGAAATATTAGATTTAACTTTTCAGAACCTACTCTATCAACAGGGAAAAAATGACTTTGCTATTATACAGTACTGTATATGAAGTTAGCAGTAAGGGCCTATCAAACAAAAATGGATAATGTAGATGGAGAATAAAAAAAAACATGGTTTACGAAACCACTTGAGAAAACAAGCAGGCGGATTCAAATGACACTAAACTCAGGTCTGAAAAAAAAATATTCCATTCAAGTATGTACTCTTAACTCAAAAAGTACCTTCTATTGCTCTCAACATCTCTAGACCTCCTTTTTCCTTTTTTTTGGCTGTTGTGATCATTCTTCCTGATACAGGGTGGCTATGTTCATTCTCCATGGTCCCACTGTATGTAGAAACATAGCCACTCTCTCTTGCTCATTCTGGAGATTGACTAGAAACTATGGATTATGGGATTTGTAGTGTACATAGAACAGTGTGCATCACCACAAGTAATGTGTACTGCTTGTTCCAAGAAAACAGACATGAGGGGGGAAAAGAAGAAGTTTATAGGTGACAGAAAATCACAGTAAGAAATTATTTCATGAAAGTGTTACTAAACCCAGGACCCTGCATTCACTATATCTGGTCTCCCACAGTACAAGGAACATGGAAATGCACTTATTGTAGTAAATATAAGTTGCAAAATACCTTTTCTCATCAGCATTTAGCTCAATCTTGTGACTTCTACAAGTGTCCAGCAGAGCACTGGTTAAAGCTTGTAGGAGGAGTTTTCATTCTCTCCTGATTATCCTATGAGGCTGCATAACCCCTGGCCCTCTGTCTGATTGCTGATTGGCCCTGTGCTGATCACATGCACTCTTCAAAGAAAAAAACCTCTAGCAATACACACCAAACTGAACAGGTGCAGTTTACCCCTAAGGCTCTGTTCTAATAAGGATATAATTTAGTGTCACTTAAAATAAATGATTTAAAGTGTGGGAAAACCTTATTTTTTTATTGTAAAACAAACTTGTTCTACATATTATACATATTTGCCATACATATTTTAATATATTATATATTATTTATTATTGATATATTATGTAAAAAAACTGCTATTCAGATTCAGTGCTTTATTTTTTACTTAGGTCATACCACAAGCCCTTCAAAGTTGAAATCAGCTGCTCTGCTCATGTAAAACATATATACTTTACTAAATACAGCAATATGAGAAAGCTCATAGCACCCTAACACCGAAAACATTTTAAAATCCCCTTAAACTTACAAAGGAGCCCTCTGGAATTGAAATACCAGTTGAAAATCAGTTAAGTCCATGCAAATAAGAATATTTTATCCCAGGTGTAGAAATATTATACATTATTATATTAATATACTATACAGTTTATACCAAACATAACTGAGAACATTATTATCCAATATATCGCAAACTTATAATACTAACAAAAAGGAAATAGGTGCTGGCATTACAAAATAGAAAAGTGAAAAAATAAACTAAGATCCTGGGGAGGCCATAGCCCTTCAGTCTTGCAGGATGTACTGAGGGCATCCATAAAGTTTATGTGTGGTACTACCAGAAAATATCATTTTATTTTGAAAAAAAATTTGATTGAGTTTAAAAAATGTGCTCATGTCTGATCTTCCTTAAATAAAGCAAGCAAATTATAATGAGCAGCAATGGCCACTGCAAGTTATTGCTGTTTTTCTGGCCAATATCTTTTATTGCAGAAAGTTTGAACCAATTAAATGGCAATGTGTTTTTGTCCTATATATGGCAGCTCCATGACATTTTTTGAAGTATCTGGGGAATTCAATACTTTAACTACTCTTCAATATGCAATATATATTTTAATTGGTGTGAATTGGATAGCATTCCATATTTAGATGGCAAAGAGGAAAACAATCAATAATTACAAGCGATCTATGGAAGAGGTTTATAAGGAATTAGGTAAGAATTAAACAGACTCTATATTGTGTGTTATGGCTTGTCATTGACAATTAGCTCTTGAAGTTTTTGTTCTCAATCATTTAAATGTAAAAATCATCTAAAAGATAGCAAAAATTTCTAGTAATATAGTATGTAAATACAGAAATATTTAGAGACATTCCAGAAATAAAAAAATATAAAAATGAGAGTTATAAATAGCATCAAAGGTCTAAAAAAAAAAAGGATCAAAAACTAGGTTGGACCAATAATAGGCAGTAGTGGTGAGTGCTTTTTTAACCTTTAACTTTTGTCAGCAGTATTTGGTTTTATATGTGCAAAAATATCCCTAACTACTACTGTATTTTTTATGTAAAGAAACACCTTAGATCTACTTTGATAAGAAATTCCTTTCATGTGTATTAACATAGAGCTGCATCAAAAGGAATTTAGCCCCATTTGGTTCCCTGTATTTCTTTAGTAGAAATGTTATAGAATAGGTATATAAATATTTTCTCTGTTTAATAGCACTTTAATTACTTTGGTATTTTGCCCACAATATGTTTTTTTTCTTTTCACAAAGCTCTGCTATTTATGTCTTGGATATATTATAAAATTAGTTGGAGGCATGATCTATTTTGAGAAGTGGTGCAGCATCATCAGTGTGGTGCAACATTTGTGGGTTTGGCCTATTTAGCTATGGGTCTCTAAATGACTGGGTGAATCCACTATTATTATACTTCAGTACTGTTCATATGGAAACAGCAGTAAGATGACCATTAGTATTCATTGAGATAAAATGCTAGTAACACTGAATGATTGAGTGAATCCAACATTGTTGGATTTGCCTACTATAGACTTCAGTGGGATTTGCCATATTCTCTGACTTTGAAATAGGATTCACCAAACCCTTGGCGAACTGAGCCTAGGCAGATTCTCTCATCCCTTTTCTGTATGCATAATGGGAAATGAATGACACAGACTAAAGGTATGCATCTGTAAAAGTTCTATTGAAACTTTTAGGCAACTTGAAGCATGTTTGACCTACTATACTTGATATCCATTTATTCTGAAAATGAGGAAGACATTGAATGTAATTTGTATTTATAGTCATATCTTTAAAATTAAATTAAATACTAATTTTTTTTTTGCTAAATAAAGATAGAGCCTATACTTGCCTGCTCTGTGCACCGATATTGCACAGAGAACTGTTCTCTCCTCCCTCCTCTGGATGCCTCCTTAGCAAGCTGTGTGCTTTTGGGGCACCTGCGCTTGCATGCTCCCGAGCTGTGTGTATCCATAAACACATACAGCGGCAGTAAGTCCTGCCCCTTCTCCACCTTCACAAGAATTTGGCTGACAGCAACCTATGGCCTATGGCTGATCTCAGTGTCTCCTGTGAGACCAGAAAGTGAAGGGAGCAGTGCTGCAGCTGGGACAGTGTTGGATCAGTGAAAAGAGTCAGGAAATTGCTTAGAAATGGGGGGCTAAAACAGGTAGTGGGGGGAGTCAGGGTTACCTCAATATAGCGAATGCATTAAGGAAAAAATCCTTTGCCTTTAGAACCACTTTAAGAGGTTGTTATGGATATACTTGTACAGATCTGTTTCCACTGCTGTACTTGCTAAGTATGTAATGAAAGCTAAGTAAGTAATTCCATCATGTATGTCTAAACACTAAGTGGCATGCATCTGAATCTTTGTTTGCTAAACTATTTGAAAAGAAAGGTAGAAACACAACAATTAACTTGTTAGATAATTCACTGAAAAATATGGTTTATCAATTCAAATGTCATATTCTCACACAAGAAGGAAACCAATGTTCTAACGTTAGGTATTAAAAATGTAGGGTGAAGGTGTTACTTTGATGCTCAGAAGATTGTCATTACCTGACAATCAGCACATCATTCTTGTCTTGAGTAATAATCTCATTTTAGAAATATTTTTACTACTTCTCCACTGAGAGCTTAAATAATGTTTTACATAATCTCCTGTTTGTTTAAACATTAATTATTTCCTCGTGCTTATTTAACGAGGATTTCTACATAGGGTGGGTAGGTGTATGGATATGCAATATCCTTTTTTTCTATTTCTCCAATCCAGTGATATTATGGTGGTAGGTTCAGCAGCCACCATCCCTCGGCTCTGATCATATTGCTCAGCAGGCAGCCTGTTGTCAGTGAAATCTTAAATGAAGCCTACAACTCACTGGGGGTTATTTACTAAAACTGCATGGTACAAAATCTGGTGCAGCTCTGCATAGAAACCAATCAGCTTCCAGGTTTTATTATCCAAACCTAATTTAACAAGCTGAAGTTAGAAGCTGATTGGCTACCATGCACAGCTGCACTAGAATCTGAATGCTCCAGATTTAGTAAATCAACCCCATAGTGTTGGAGTGTCAAAAATTAAACCTGTAGAAGACAAAATGCACTGCAATGCATGCTAAACCATACTGGAGTGCAGCGCGATTCAAAGCACACAGCAGCTCCACTCCTCACCAGGGGCGGACTGACAACTCATGGGGCCCCCGGGCAATAGGGGATCATGGGGCCCCTGTGTCCTTGCCCAAAATCAAAAAAGCCTATGAAAAAGGTACCAGGGGCATCTCATGGGGCCCCCTACTGACCCTGGGCCCTCGGGCAGTGCCCGAGTTTCCAAATGGTCACTCCGCCTCTGCTCCTCACTAGAGTTGGGCTTGATGTTCGAGTCAAACTTATGTTCAACTTGAACATCGGCCGTTTGTGTGTTTGGCAAACACAAGAATGGTAAGGGCCCCACAATGCACTGCTTCCTGACAGTGCAATGCATTGGCCAATCACAGCACATGATGGCGTCACAAGAGGCAGGGGGCCACCCAGTGGCATCAACCAGGTGACCCCGCCCCCTTGTGATGTCATTGCAGTATTTAAGAACTGTCCAGATTCTGAGTGCACTAGTTTTAGTAAATCTCCCCCACTGTGACTGCATCCATAGCACTGCACTAAAAGTAGACACATGGTGGTTGCCGAGCAGTATGTTGCAATATTTCAGGATGGTGGGAAAGCATGCACTGTATATGTTGAATTATGCATATCCCTCTTGATCAAGAGATCTGTAAAAAATGGATATTGGGTATTTATATGACAATACAAAACACAGGGTTTGATTTACTAAAGGTAAATAGACTGTGCACTTTGCAATGGCGGTTCGTCTGAGCTTAGCAAATAATAAAGCTCCACTTTACAAAGAATACCCAATCACATACAAGGAAAATAAAAAAACAGCATTTTTTACTGTGCATGATTGGATGATGGAAGCTCTCATTTACTAAGCTCTGGAGCAACTGCACGTGCAAAGTGCATAGTCTATTTGCCTTTAGTAAATCAACCCCATAGTTTTATTCCTTAATAAAAGCTATATGTAAGATATTAGTTGTCTTGTCATATTTTTTAAAAGTCAAAAACCTATGTAGGCCTCATTTACTAAAGCTTCTAAATGAAGAAATGGCATTTTTGACTTCTATGGTATTTATTTCAGGTACTTATATAGCACCGTCAATTTTACACAGTGCTTTACATATGTATTGTACATTCATATCAGTCCCTAACCCTCAAGAGGTGTACAATCTAAGGTCCCTTTACTCACATTCATACATACACATACTAGTGCCAATTTAGACAGGAGCCAATTAACCTACCAGCATGTCTTTGGAGTGTGGGAGGAAACCCAGGCAGGCACAGGGAGAACATGCAAATTCCATGCAGGTGGTGCCATGGTTGGGATTTGAACCAAGGACCTTATTGCTGCCAGGCAGACGTGCTAACCATTTAGCCACTGTGCTGCCCTATTATGGTATAATTTAATAAAAGACTGCATAGCTGTTTGTCCATTGAAAATGGCAAATTTATTTTGTGTGAATGGGGCAAAATTGAATGTTCTCCAACTATATTCTCTGAAATTCGAATGTCTAATATAGAAAATAACACATGATGGACAATAGATGGTGCTGAGAAGCATACTTATTTCCTATGATAATCAGCACCATCTAGTTACCATAATAAGGTATTTTTCTCATTCACACATTCAAATTACTCCAAATGCAGGCTGGGGACAAGACATCTGAGGTGGTACATGTGATTATGAACAGAATGAGCAGCCTTGGAAGCATTTGTGTCCAGAGCCACTTATCTGCTTCTGGTTTTGTGAACTAATTAACTAAGTTTATGTTAGTGAAAAAGGTAAACCTGTGTTCACTTTGAATACCCATTAATGTGTAAGCAAACCTAAGAATACAGAATACATTACGAAGCCTAATAACTAATAGGGCTCATTTGGATGGCCAATAAAGGCTGTTCACCACTAAGGATCAGTCTTCAATGGGGATCACAGGAGTTTGCAATCAGCCATAGCCAGGAAGCCTGTAAAATCATTAACAGGCTGATAGACACTATGGCTGCTACATGACGTGTTACATGTGATTATGAACAGAATGAGCAGCCTTGGAAGCGTTTGTGTCCAGAGTCACTTATCTGCTTCAGTTTAGGGAAGGGCCCTCTTGCCCTTCCCTAAACTGTATAAACATTTACTAAACAAAGATATTTCTAAAAATTTTTTAGGGCCCATTCACATCAATACACTGTGCTGAAAACCTGTGTTCTGTGTGCACTTCCCACACTGCGTTTACAATGCACTGGGTGTGCGATCTGGTGTCATTGTATTCCTAATACCCCAAATGCAGATCACAAACGCAGTGCGTTTGCCTGCACAAGATTGCGTAATACCACAATACGTTGCAGTTGCAGTGTGTTTTTAAAAGTACTGTAGTGCATGCACTACTTTTGGTGTGATCCAGTGCAATATCAGCCCATAAAAAATGAATGGGTTGAAA